GACGTTGCGATACAAAAGATAGGAACACCGAGTCGTTGTGCCATTACGAATTATGAACGGAAGTATTATAAAGAGGCGACAAAAGCAATTGATATTACTTTCCTCGCCGACCACCACTGAACTAAATCATGGCTGCTTATATGGCTGGCTGCTTACACACGATATGGCTGCCTCTAAACGGTAGTGTCCATAGAAGCGTACAGTGTCAACAGAATTATAAATGTATCCCTAAACATGGAAAATAGGTTTGGACAAACTAAGCCGACTACGCAATTGCACGTTGCGAACGATAACACCATACACAAACAAGAACGCATCCATGTACGGGCCCGCGACTACAACGCAAAAACAGCACATAACTCATACCTGAAACCAAGCGCACACAAACAGGCACGGGCAATGAGTGACTGTCGTCCCCGCTGATTACGTACGCCCTTACAGCCATGTTTGAGGTCGCACTGGCCAATTATGGAATCAATACGGGAGCAGAGTCAGGCATCGGCGTCCGCCTCACGCAGCAACACAGCGGAAACGCGGAGCAACGGCGGTCCCACACAGCACCGGGCTGGTCAGCAGTCCGCCCCGTCTGGCAGCCGGTCCCCCCCCCCTGATATAGGCCGCCTTGCGCACCCTTTATTTGCCAAAACACCGGATCGACGGGCGTAACACCGCCTGCCATGAATTATGTATGGCCGCCGGCGTTGGGCCGCGCGCGGTCCGTGCGGTCTGCTGTCAGGGGCGGGCCGGTGCCCGGGCGCCGAGGCGACGCACCTGACCCCTGCCCCGGCCACGGTCCGCGCCGCTCGCCCTCAGAGTAAGCCGCTGCCCGGGCGACGAGGCGACGCACCTGACCCCTGCCCCGCCACGGTCCGCGCCGCTCGCCCTCAGAGGTCAGGCCGCTGCCCGGGCGACGAGGCGACGCACCTGACCCCCTGCCCCGGCCACCGGTCCGCGCCGCTCGCCCTCAGAGGTAAGCCGCTGCCCGGGCGACGAGGCGACGCACCTGACCCCTGCCCTGGCCACGCCGGCGTGCGGTCCAGCTCACGCGTCGGCCATTGCTAGGGTCGACCACTGAAAGCAAGCAGCTCAGCTGGATGTCGTCGTCGTCTCGACCCCGTAGCTGCTCGTCTCCCATCCAGCAGGTCGACCCCAGGTCCAGCTCCGGCGGGGCCGCCACCGGCGCCGTTGCACGGTCGGTGACCCGTGCTCGGTCCAGCTGCCGTGCGTGTCAGCTGTCTCCGGGACCGGGCGACGGCCGGCGCAGCTGACGCCTTTTGAGGTCAGTTGGGCGCCGCTGAGACTGCCAGTCACGACGCGGCCCCTGCGCGCGCCGCAGTGAGGCTCGACCGAGCCGGCAGAACGGCGCGGCCCGGCCGGCGCCAGTACGAATTGGCCGCGAGGAGGCCCGGCTGTGACCTGTAGTGCCATGCAGGGCTCCGCGGCGCCCCTGAATGGTTGTTCACGACCCATGTGAGACCAATCAGCGCAGGGGATCGAGCAGTTTTATTCGATCCCTTCCATGCAATTTAGACCGAGTCGCTATCCGCACTTCCTGGCCATACTGCCGAAGTTCGGTCTGCCCCTGTGGTCTTCTTGGCGGGATTTATGCCCCCTATGCCTGTCCTCACGGCCGTCTGGGGGATACGCTCCTCCGTCTGGCCTCACCGCTGTCTGGAGCCGCGCCCTCTGTCCTGTTCTCCCACCTACCCCAGCGGGGTACAGCCCCCGCCCCCCTCACGGCCGTCTGGGCCGAGAAGGGATCACCGCCGCCGATGCAAAAACACGTCATCGTCCTGACGGCCGCCGTGGCTGGCGGACGGACGGCCGATGCCGGCCCACCAACGCCGACGCGCCGAGCCGGGCTAATATTTTAATTGACGAACAGCGCAAAGAAGCTTAGGGGCTGCGCCACCTCACGCGATCGGGTTAACCTCGCAGAGGCCGGGCGGTTTCGACACCAAACGGCGCGCCGCGACCCGTGCTGCCCGGATGGAAAATCGACCGACAGTCAGGTGAACGGCATTATTTCCGGCACTCAGCCGCCATTAGCGGCTCGGCCGACGGAGGTGCCGCTCGGCCGCTGATGCCGGCGCGTCCGGCCGGGCGGAGGGACGCGCCGCCTCGGGCCACACGCACTCGTCGTCCCGAGGCTCGTCCCTGGACCCGGCCCGGTGCTCGTCCCGAGGCTCGTCCCGGGCCCCCAGTCCGGGACGGGCAGTGGGGAAACGAACGAGCCGCCGCGTTTGAATCGAGGGCGCCGGCTTGATTTGTTCCGACCGGCCGCGCCAGTATCAACAAGAGCGCGACTATTGGCTGATTTCATATTCCATTTTGTCCCGGCGTAGCGATATTTCTCTATATAGTCTGCAGCTGATCCTCATTTACCGGCGAAAATAGGCCGGCCGAGTCAACAGGGGACCGAACGGCGCCGGTCCAAAAGCGGCGGCAGTAGAACTGTGGCGGCCCTGGCCTTGCCGCGCCTAGTACGTGCGAGTGAGTGTGAGTGTGTGTGCGGGCGCACCAGCCGGGTGGGCCGGCCCTGACCCGGGGCCTCCAGTCCGCCCGTGCCGAGCAGGCACCTGCAGACCGGCCATGTTGCGGGCCGTAGCGCCGCCTCGTGCCGACTTAACGGCTAAGCCGCCGGCTGACGGCCCAGATTGGCATGTACGCCTCCATCTTGGGCGCGGCGCGGCTGGTGAGCCCCGCGCGCTCGGGGGCCGCCCCTGCCCCGGTCGCTTGAGGGCCGCCCCTGCCCCGGCCGCGGTACAGTCGTCTGCCGCGCCGCGTCTGCCGCGCCGCGTCGGGCTCGACGCAGCGGGAGCGGCGCCGCCAGTGAAAACAGGCGGCGATGGCAGGGCGGTGTTCGTCGCCGCGAACATGGCCCGGTGTTTGTCGGCGGGCGGCGACCGGGGCCGTCCCGTCCTGGAGACGGCGGCCGGCGACGCATAATGCATGCGACCTTGTCACGTTCCCGGCGCATGATAAAGACAACTGTCAGTGATGCATCCGCACAGTCCTCTGTCCAGTCGCATTAGCGTGCATTTATGCAGAAAACTGAGCCCGTATGCTAACCAGCCGGCAATGGGGCCCGCCGCCGTCTGCATATTCCGTAAACACTTCGGATTGCCCAACGGCATCTGTTACATCGCAGTGCATTTATGCATGAAAATTGTCGAGATCTCCGTGTGGGGCGCCACGATGCAAATCGCTTCCGAGCGATGTGGACGGGAGCGGCCGTTTCGTTCGCGCCGTTTTCGCGCCGGCAGCCGGCGCGTCCGGCGCCGCCGCGCTTCGCGGCGCGCCCGAGTGGCGCCGCTCGCGACGACACATTTGGCACCGTTAAACACTCTTCCCGCCGGCCGGCCGGTGAGCGGCGCCGTTTTCCCGTCGATTGAGCTTTATTGAGGCCCGTAAAACACCGACGCCGGCGGATAAGGCCGGCGGCGCTGGCGGCGCGGCCTGCGGCGCCGCCGGTGCGGGACGACCGCGTCCCGCGCCGGCCGGAAGCGAGCGCCGCCGCGCCGCCGAGCGCGCCACCGCTCGCCACCGGCGCCCATGAAGCTGTTTGCGCCGGCTAGCGGGGCGCCCAGCGCCCGGGCAATCCGAAAACAGCGCGTGTTTTACCCGGGGCGTCTGACAAATCTAATCCCGGCTCCATTCGGAGAAGTTCTTCCGTCCCCGTATCGGGCCGTCCCGACCTATAAACAAGACAAATGCGGCAACCGGCCAGGACAATAGCAATGCACGTGGATATCGCGGTGACTCCCCGGAAACTTGTGATCGGCGACAAAACCGCGCTGTTTTCTGGGTGTTTTCTATTTCTGAGATCCGAACGCTACCAGTGAAACACTGGGGTCAAGTTTACCTCCCCCAGGCGAAGTTTGTGGGATAGGATAACAATCCCTGCGAGGGTTTCTACGGAAAACCTATTTCCGGGGCATTACAGTCCATGCATTTTAAAGTAGACGACGTTGTCGGCAAGTTAGACAAGTTTGAAGACGACCCTATTGGAGCTGGAGGACACTGCCGACAGCTACATTGCTCGTCCGGTGAAATTACCCCATTCTAATGCTCCTCAGACCCCAGTGGAGCGCATCGAACAGCTCTGACCTTTTAGTCTGTATTAATGTTTGACTAATGCTCCGCCGGCCCAACTAAGTCGCAGTGCGCCGACATTTTAAGACTGTTACGGCGCTCGGGCACTATACCGTTCTTGAAGTACGTCACAACGTGGTATCAGCGAGACTTTCGGCAATGTGGTGAATTATTTTGCAGTTCATCGGACCGGCATTCCATTATGTCCGGCCCATGCGCTCCGAGCGCTCCACAAAGCAGCGTTCCGGACCAAGTTGATCCAACAGTCAAGCCTTCCATCAGCAGCGGGAATGCGCCCGACAAACCGGACATGACGGGGAGCCTTCCATTGGCCAGCGGAGCGACCGGAGGCCCGGTCATAGCTGGCAATATGGGAAGAGGCCATCGCGCTCATGCCTCTCTGCTCCCAACAACGGCGGCCAAATGGTTTCGAGTCGTTGTCTTCGGCCGAGCAGAAAAAGACGGAGCGAAACGCCGCCCGAGCGGCGGCCGGCGCCGGGCCACTGCTCTCAGCGCGACGATAAAGCAGACATAAAACCGGCCGGGCAGACGCAGACCAAATGGACAAGTGCGAGGCGCCGGCGCACCACGCACAGATTGCTGTCCTAAATTAAGCCCTGAGTGGACATCACGGCAGGCTGTGGCCGCAGCGATGTGTTCGCGTCGCAGCCGCGTGTCGCGCGACGGAAGGCCCTGCCGGGGTCGCACCGTACCGGCGCGCTTTATTTGGAATTTAATTCTGGCCGAGCGTCGAGTTTTGATGGCTTTCATTGTTCGTTGTTTTTCTTTGTATCTGGCGCCATTCCGCCACGGCGCCCTTTTGCGGATGAGAGTGACTTTCACTGTTTGAAAAACGGGAAAAACAGAGAAATAATTGACGCCCTCTGAGCCACCGCGGCGGCCGGTCATCTGGCGGCGCGAGCGAGGCGGCTGACGGTCGGCGCCTGGCGCACGACCCGGCCGGCGCCACCTCTGTCAGCGACGGCACGGACGGCGGCCGCGGACAGCGCAGCCGTTGATCGGCGCGGCCGTTCTTCTCGTTAATTTGGCGGCGGGCGGCGCGGCTGTCCTCGGCGACCATCGCTCACTACACCACTGTCACAACGGCGAGAACTAACGCAAGAGGCCGCGCCGGCCGCGCCGCCACTTACCGGGCGTGGGACCGCCGACGGCCCGAGGCCCGACGGCTGGCGTCTCAGTCACCGCCGCCCGAGCCGCCGCCTCCGTCCGGCCCGGCGCCGCATCTGTCCGAGGGCCAGCTCGAGCCGGGCCGAAATCGCGGCCGCACGTCACCCCGCGGACCGATCAAGCCGTAATCATTTACCGCCGGTGGCCGTGGTTTACTTTGGCCGCGCCGGCAGCGCCCCTGACGGACGCGTCGTCAATTACGGGCGACATGCTGACGATTTGTGGAAAGAAGTCGAACATCAGATTTGAATGCAGGCCAATGCACGGTCGGCCGACCGGTCGTGTGGGCGTCGGATCGCGGCCAGTCCATCAGCAGCATCGGCAGCCAGCGTCTCGGAAGTCCAATTACCTCCTGCCCCAAATACACGGCCAGAATCCAGCCGGCGCGATCTCTATCCGGCGCCGGTAAAACGCACTCCAGGCATACCTCCGTGCCGGCGGCGGCTGGGTCGCTGCATGACGGAGCACGCCCGGTCGACCGGCCGCCGCGTCCCGTCCCGCCGGTCGGGAGACACCTGCGGCGCGGCGAGTTATTGCGCGCGGAGGCGGCACGAACCGTCGTTCGGCCGCCCCATTTTGATTCGGTCCGCTCGCCGCCGGGGCATACCAATGCTCGCCGAGCAAGACAGGTGGAATAAAGGAGAGCCATTTGTGGGACCACGCCTCGCCACCGGCGGCATTACCGCAGAGGCGCAAAACACGGCTCGCCGGCGGACCGGCTGAGCCGCTCGGCCAGCGAGCCGCTCGGGAGACGAGTAGCACCTGCCGAGGCCGAGCCGGACCGAGCCAAGCCCCGAGCCGAGCATAGCCACCCGAGCACCGGGAGTAATTTATCGGATAAGGATTACATTCCGCCGGTAGGCCGACGACCAGGCGTCGGTTGTGGTGTATTTTGAGGGCAGTTTTTTTGTAGTGTCGCGGCTGCGGACCAGCATTCTCGGCGGCCGCGACTCGGGCGGGGGGCGACCTCTCGCTGAGAGAGCTCCGGTTACCCAATAAAGCGGCCGGCGCGCCCGAGCGCCGACAGAACCTGACAATGTGCGCGGCCGATCCGGGCCGGGGCCGTCACCGGCTCAAAGGCGCCGCCGCCCGGCGCCGCCGCCTGCCAACAGAAACAGGACTTGGACGGCCAGGCGGGCCGAGACGGCGCGCCGCCCGCCGCTGATGGATGCTCATCGGCGGCAAACACGCCGCGCCGAATTCGCCCGCGTGACTGTCGAGCGCGCGTCGGACGCGGACGCGCCGTCAGCGCGGCCTCTTTTCGCGATGACGGATGCCGGGCCGCCGGCCGCGGCTGCCCGCGGCTTTCTGGCGCGGCGTCCCGGCCCCCAGGGGAGCGTGTCCCGCGCGCGCGCGCTTTGATCGTCACCCCACAACAACACCGCGCGCCCACAGCCGGCGCCACCCGCCGAATCGCCGCGGCGGCGCGAAGCGACGCCACCGCCTTCCCCTCCCCCGCCGACCGCCAGTGACCGACAACCTTCGCCTCCCACGCCGGACAACAATCGACGCACGTAAATAGCCGGCGCGTGGGCGGTGGCGGCGGCGGCGACTGCCGCTGGGGAGCCGGCCACGTCCGGTGCCCGGCCGCATCATGTCGAGCCCGGCCAGCCCGTGCCCGCCGCAGCGATGGCCGCCGACAGGGCGGAGAGGCGACCGCCGCCGGCGCGGCTCGTAACGTCACGGCGCCGGCCGCTCACACACCTCGTCCCGGCAATTAGCATAGGCAATCGCGGCACGGTCCGCGTCCGGCTGCAGCGGCGGCTGCAGCGGCGCCCCCGCCCGGCGCCAGCCCCGGTGTCCTGGTGCGGTCATCTCCGGCAGCGCGGCGGCGACGGACAGTCCGGGCCGCGCCGGCCGCCGGGATCACAGCGGGATCGCAGCCGGGATCACGGTGCGAACCCCGATCCCTGCGCGCCGCGCTGCCGCCCGATCTCGGCGACGGCGTAAACACTCGGCGGCCGGCCGCGTCCCGAGGCGACGCCGCGCAGGAGGCTCGCGAGAGGTCGTGC